TTCTTTCTCTTTTTCAAATGAAATGATATTCTTTTCTACCAATTAACACTCATTACACTGCTTTAAACGAGTCGATAATTCAATTGGAATTTCGTCTAAATATAGTCATTTTTCTGTTTCACTTGTTTCTGAGTTTTCAAGTTTATACGAGTTATTTTATTAGATTATTCTTCAATAATAATTGAAAGATGTGAAAGATTTAATGATCCAGACATCAACTCTTCAAGTATATTTATCCTGTTTATTATATATCAATAATTAAAAAATGGTGAATGAAGTTCGATAAAAAATACAAACAGACTGATGAACGACGGTTTTTTTACACGGATCAACTTTATTGAGTCGGTTCGTCTGCTAGACCAGCGGTAGCCGACAGTTATTTCGATAAACGTGGTTAACTGTCAGTTTTCAATAAAAATCGACAACATGAGTATGATTACTGAGCAAAAAGATAATAACTATGAGTCTTGCAGCAGTTTTAAGATCATAACTGTAAACTTTGTACGGTTTCAAGACTGTAACGCGAGACACTAGGTATTTTAAGATCATATTAAATAAGGCTCTGAATGGTTTAATAATTATTAAGACATACGGAGGACGATTTTAAGATTATACATAAACTGGGCTCCTCTAGGCAAACTTATGATTATACTCATTGCCATTATTTATTTAATTAAAATCATAACTATGCAAAGGGAAGAGAATAAAAAAAAACACAAAAATGCTCAAGTTCTGAGTGTATAACTCCGAGAAATTCTAGAAAAAGAATAATTTTGAAAGTAATTGCGTATTTTGAAAAAGTAAAAATATCAAATTTTCTGATAAAAGAATGATGAAGTCTTAGCAATGAATTGTATTTTATGTTAAAACTGATACCATAAGATTATTCTGACATTTCTCAGGAATAATCAATTGTTTTACGCACACGTGGTTTGCTTAAATGAAGTGGAAATCATATTAGAAGCAAAATCATAGTGAAAGATAAAATTATTTAAACGATAATTTGATGCTTGAATTACTATTGAAAGCTTCTTATTTTTCACTTGAGATTTCTACGTCAAAATATTTCACAATAGAAAAACTACCATATGAGATAGAAAAAGACAGCAACTGAATAGATAACGCAAAATATTTTTTTTAAGTAGTAAACATAATGAAATAAAAAAAAACCTTTATTTTAAGTTTTTTTTTACCTAAAAAGAGGAGATGACAGTAGAAGATATTAGATATTTTGTACCGTTAGAATTGTCTATAACTTATAGAAACTCAGAAAAATCGTGAATTAAAAATAAAAAGGAAACATAATTTAGTTTTTACAATCGAGTTCACTAGTGTTCGAGAATTTGTAACTTACTTAAAATTTTAACTGGTAAGTGTTAACCTGTCTAGGTTACAATAAACTCTTCGTCTATTAAATAGGAGGACATATGGTGACTATGAGTCATGAACAAATTAGATACGATACGAACTTTTTCTGTTCTCTCTAATCTTTGTCCTTTTTTTAGTTATGCCTCTATTATCAATAATATTTTTTTTATTTTGTAGAACTTTTTTTCCATGAAATAATCCAAAATGAGCTAAGAAAGAGTAAGTTAACTTCATGTAGAAGAAAAACAGGAATTTTAAAGAATTTTAATATCTTTTCACTTGTATGCCACGCACGAAAACTTTTCTTGACATTATCCTACAGAAATATATTTTTACTTACTCTTATAAGGAAGTCGATCTGAAGTAGGAAGATATTCTCACTTTAAATTATAGAATTATTCTGAAAAGTATCTTGGAATGAAACGTCTCTATAATGAAATCATAGTCAATTTTTTTTTTTTGCTACCGTGGGATATACTTAAAAGTGGTTTTCTTTCTATTTTTTGAATATTGATTGATTCTTTCTTTACTAACTCATTAGAAAAAGAATTTCTCTTTGTAAAAGAGAAATTGTATATAATTAAAATCAGAATGATAATGAACATTAAAATTACACATCTCTTCTCAAATAATATGAAATTGAGACGTGTTTTCAGAATAAGAAATGGGTAAATATATCTATATCTCTCTCTTTCTTTCTCTCTCTCTATATATATATATAGGGAGGGAGAGAGAAGAAGAGAAACAAAAAACAAAATTCGTTTGCTTTAGGCATGTTGTCATCGTCGGACTCTCTAATTTAAATTACAACATCTAATTTTGTTGACTTTCTATTGTCATATTTAATAAATTTTCAGCCCTTCTTTTCCTCCTCCGTTCATATTTAATTTATTTTCAAGCATTATAAGAGAAAGAGATAGACTAATAGGATTGTTAAGGATAAGCGTAAGAGACAGTTTTTTCTATGTAATTGAACCAAAACTGTTTTCTTATCCAATCGTAATTCTATAACTTTTTCTCGTTTCTCAGGCTAAAAACTTGACAAAGTCGACTTCAGCAAAATTAAAAATGTAAAATTTTTATTGAGTAATTTAAATTCTATAACTATCAATCTGAACAGCATGTTGCAAATGCTTGTTCTAAAAGAATACCGCCCGTAATGGTGCTCCTCCTCCCGTTTATTGACTCTTCGTATTATACGATAGAATATTATTACTGCTAAAACTACACCAAAATTAATAAAGAGTTCATATCTGCAGAAAAGATGAAAAAATCTTTTGTTTTTGTTTCAACTATTTGTCTATTATTCTTTCTGCGATTTCAAGAAAACTTAATTTTTCATTAACATTTATTACGATCCCTCGAAAAACGGGATCCAGTCCAGCTCGAATTCTTAATATGTTTCAAAACATATCTCAGTTGAACGACCTATAAGGAAACAATATTTTCAAAAAAAGAAAAAGATCATTTCTGACATACCACTGGAAGTATCTTTAGTAAGAATTCGAGCTGGATCGATTGATATAAAAGTGAATGTGTCTCCGATGCTATGCGAATCAAATAAAGGTAACCCATGGGATAAAGGATACTGGGTAAAAAATTGTTTTTCAATTATTCAGAGGAAGCGCACCTTTTCACACCCTTTCGATATTTACGGTCTTGCTAACAATGAGTGATGGATCCCTTAATGTATCGTCCGCAAGATAGTGAAAGAGGGATTAGATTTGTCTTTCTGAAAAATCTGATATGATTTGATTATTAATGTGAGCGATGGGCTATCTTCTGCTGCCTCACAAACGTCGCGACACGAAACACCACGCAGCATTACAAGGCCTCACCGACCTGTACTAAACATTTTTACCTACGTACTGTTTTACTGAGTACTGTTTTACTAATAATAGTCATTCTGACCTTCAAACGTTTCCGTATGTCATCCTAACTAATATCTGCTTTTTAAAATTTCATATACTACATCTCTATATTTATTAGAAAAACCACTTTGTATAGAAAAAGTGTTAATTAAATGGTCATATATTATGCGTGATATATTTAATTGCAGTAAAACAAAGATAGTTAGAAATAACGATAGCTATATACAGTTTTTATCTTTTTCTGTTTTCACGTTTCACCTTTTATTGAAATCTATCAGAGGAACTAGTATTGTTCTACTTTTCAACTATTTTCGGTTATTAATGTCAAAGCACTTTAACCGAGAAAAAAACAAGTTTTAAGAGAGAAAGAGAGAGAGACATTAGTTCTTTAATAGTGTCATACGACTTGTTTGATCTTTGTCTATGATTGCAGTGATTCTTATTTGTTGTTATATTAAAATGGAGAACACGTCAAACTGAATAAAAAATGTTTATACATAGAAAAAAAAAAAAGCCATGACCCCTTTTTATACGGACGAAATTGTTATTGATTAAGAGATCTTTTTCCGAATACAAGAGCTGTATTTTAATCTCCAATTGGCAAGAAAACCTTAGGGCGTATTTTGTTTTTCTTCTTTTTCAAAAATACATGAGGATTAGATTTTTTGCACACATATGTAGAAATTCTCATGAAGAATGATATTTTTTTGATAGTCTTATAGTGTGATATAAGGTAAATTATTTTTTGATTTTCTTTGTAGAAATATTGAATATAAGTAATTAAAATCAAACAGATATTTTTTATTTTGTGCATATACCTATCTGTGATGTGCCAATATAATGCTAAATATATTTTTTATTTAATATTATTCGAATGAGATAAATAACATAGATCAGATTTTTATATTTCTGATTAGTAGCATCGAACGTTTCCTCTCAAATGTATACTAGTCTATCTATCTATCTAATAAAACAAATGAAGAACACAAATGTAATACAGATATATACCATCGGCTTATAATATTTTGTTCGTTTTTTTCTTTCTCTGTTCTTCCAGGCAAGGAAAAGATCAAAAATACTGTCATATAGTGCTACTTTTTTCCTATTTTTTTTTGAATGATGCCAATGTTGAAAAGGTATAAATCATGACAAACAATTGCTCTCATTCATACCTTTCTTCTTGCGAATCACACATATTTAGTAAAATACTTAGTTTTTAATTCAATATATAGTCTCTTACAATTTGTAGCAGGTAATAAAATAAAGAAAAAAGGGTTATATTCAAGGCTACATCCTTTTAACTTATATAAGAATCTTATGTTCTTATAAAATTTTGACAGATCAACAAATAATTATATATTAGTGGTTAATCTCGTTACAAGATTTCCAAAAAGATAAGATGTTTTTCGTAGAAAATACTTGCACAGTTATAAAGGATTTATCAGTGTAGTACTCTAATCTATAGTAAAACTTTTTTCTATTGAATTTTAGGTCACTACCTTTTTAGAGTTAATACGTACGTGAGAAACTTGATGTTGGAAAAAGAAATTCTTCAATTTTACATTTTTATTCGACATCTAGATTTTTTCGAATTTATAAAAATAAAAATTTTCTGAAAGACATTCAATTAGGTGTACTCTTCTGTTTGAAGGATGATACTTGGCTTTCAAATGTGGCTCAAATGAAAATGAAGATGAACTATTCGTAAAATTGTAGATATTTGGCTTATTTTCAATTATAAAAAAGCCATTAATATTCTAAATGACGACGTCAATTGCCACACCAAATTTATCATCATTTTATTATCTCATAAGCATTTCAAATTCCACAATACCAGGATCTACTTCAAAATTTACATTACCAATGTGGATAAAAATAGTCATCGTGACATTTATGATATTAATTGATATAAGTGCGTTTGTGGGTAATGCTTTAGTTATTGCAGCATTTTTTCGTACGAGACGTTTACAAACGGTAACAAATTATTTTATTGCCTCATTAGCTTATGCTGATTTATTAGTAGCCGTATTTGTACTACCATTATCTATTTATTATTTTTATCGCGATCGATCGTGGAAATTAGGTTTAATACTATGTGATTTATGGGTTAGTTCCGATGTATTACTATGTACCGCCTCTATATTAAATTTAACGTGTATATCAGTTGATCGTTATATGGCCATAACAAAACCGTTGACATACACCGCTTATCGTTCAAAATTTTTAGCACGAGTGATGATTGTATGTGTATGGATTGTATCTGCTATTATCACTTGTCCACCCATATTTGGATGGAGAGATGCAAATAGAAAAACACAAGTATGTAAAAAAAAAAGTTCTTCCTTAAATTTCAAATTCAATTTACTGCTAATTCAACAAGAACAAAGTTGATGATAATCAATATATCAATTTTTGAGGAGAAAGAAGAAAATCCCGTAGGGTATCATTTTATATATGTCAAAAAAATTGTCAAACGTTAAATTGAGCGGATGATTATTTCAAAACAAAAATAACGAGTTGTAAGAAACTTTTTAACATTATACAAGCTTCCGCCCTACTACTGAGACAAGAATACCTATAAAAAATAAATTAGTTATATTATAGCCCTCTTTTTTACACACTGAGATTTAATATAGGAATTGTATAATGTACCAGTGGGTGATAAAAATTAAATAAAATCCTTAAAAATAGGTATGTGAGAACATGATCTATTTTCATCGGTGTATTAAAAATGAATACCTTTGCCTCATATTATGGAAGTAGAAAAAACGCAGCATCTTCTAGGTAAATGATTATATTTGAAAATAGTTTTTAATAAAGAAGAGTCGTTTACTTTTAAAAGATCTAAGGTTACCCATATATTTAAATCTTTTCGACTCGTTGGTACACTGTGAAAAAAGAGATGGATTTTAGGCGCCTCAGAAGCAACCACATTTTGATGAATAAGAAGATATTTCCATGTAAAAGATGCGTCACGATGCCTTACGAAAGGCGCCTGAATTCCAGTTTTGTGCACCCATAGTGTTATGCATCGTGAATGTTTAGTCAAGGCACCATGGATGCATTATCCCATGTAAACCAGATGCATTTTTTATGCATAAAGTAGGACGGTCCGATGTTCACCAAGCATCCCGGATGCATTAAATACGCTGGAATGTCTTATAAAACGCGGACTACGATCAAAGGCATGCAGAAAAGATATGAATAAGTCTATCTAGGATGTAGAAATAGATAGAAAGAATACTAGTTTCACTTCTTGGATATAGACAAGTTAAGAAAATAAGAACTTAATTATTTGTTAGATATCTAATGTATGATGCACCGAATGAGCAAACTACCGTTTTTATCGATATAATCGATTAAATTTGGATACAATTTAAATATCGTGAGATTATTTTACTAAAATAGAGAAAATTGTGTATATATATATCTATACAAATTTTATTTTCAACTCTTTGCTAAAATAGCAAAAACATTTACTTTTGAAAATTAATTCATAGATAAGATAGACGTTCCACTACACATCTAATATAAACATTAACACAGTCAATTCTATTTTAGATTAACTTCTCATATGAATTCTTTTGCTAGCAGACATTGCCTGCATCAATATGCATGCCAGAAAAGGATATTATAAAGATTAACAGATCAGCTGCAGTTGCATCACTGAACTGTTACAAGCACCAGTATCTTTTGTGCGGATAAACACAAATGATACCATTCAAATCTAACACATAAATTAATCAAATTAGACTTGAGTCTAACATAATTAAGTAAACCGGCAACAGATTAAAAATAGTCTGTTCAAAAGTATAATAATCAATATAATGGAGAAAGAAACAATGCAAATAGGATACTTTTCTAGAAATTTGATCTCACCATTTCTCTTGTCAGAGATGTCTTAGCTGAGTACCAGAATAACTCTGTATCTAACAAAAGCCTGGATACATTTCCAGTGTCTTGAATGCATGATAACTGACTAAGTGTCTTAACCGTAGCTAGTGCCTTGTAATTTTTTGATGCATTAGTGATATCTATCGAAAGCATCTAGCCTATTTTTATCAAAAAAAGTAGTGATTTAGAGATGATTTGTCAAGACATCGAGACAACGAACAGTAAAAAGAAGATGAGATCTAAATAGCACCTAACGTGACAGTGTCAGTGTATTATTTGATCCTTTTTTGCGTCAAAATAAGAAGCATAAATCTAGAACATTTCTCTTCCAATTGATTGCATTGTAACAAAAATAATTTGCGTTCATAATTTTAGGGATAATATCTTCTATTCTGTGTTTACAATAGCGAAAAAAAAAAGACAAATTTTTGATTAAAATAATTGAATAGAACAAGCACTATAGAATGACGCGAGATGATTATGAGCAGTTTGTAACACGCAGTATTTTAATCTGGTTTAACTTATTTTAAATCGGACAAAGGTGATATTAACCAGGTAGATAAATCACACTCTTACCTATCTAACGATATAAAAAGTATTTTTAAAATTCACCAGTCTTAACTAGTATTGATCAATTTGTAACCTATAACCATTTACTAATCATAATTATTTTATTTGGAATAACTACGAATAATCTAATAAAAATAATTGCAAAAAACTTAAAAAACATAGTTCCAAGTAGAAATTAAACGGCAAAAGGCTTAAAACTGATGTACTATTGCCTAATAAAAAATCTCTAAAATTTTTTTTTGATTAAGATGCTTGCAATAGTTAAGCTAGAAATCTTCCAAAAAAATTCACAACATGCCCAATCTGAATATCGCGGTCTCCCGGCTTGAATCGAAGCGAATAAAGTGTCGACAGTTTTCATATGAGGAAGAAAAATACAATTTTCTTTTATATATATATATATATATATATTGGTTATTTATCTTCATTTTAAAACATCATGTCTAGACGAGCTAATCTTTTGCTCCTCTCTGAGATTCTCCGTTGAAAAATGCCTTTAATTCAGATTATTCAAAAATTGATGTTAAAGGCATTCGCCGATGCTGATATATTTCCCATATTTTGCCTAATTGTGTGACACCAGAGCTATCCTAATCCTAATTCTATAAGAATTCTAAATTTTGTATCTGCATTATGTGGTATCGTAGATCGAGAATGTCGAAACTTTGTTATCAAATTTCTCGATCCTGGTCTATTTGAAATTTTTCCGATTTTTTGAGAGTTTCGGGATGTTTGGGATATTCGGTTTAGCGACAAAGAAAGTGTGGTTCTTCGGAAAACGCCGTGTTGCAGAGGTACATTAAGCTTTGCAAAATTGTTGTTTCGATATCTTTCCAACCAAAATTTATCCACCAGCCACTGGAAAGAGTGCGTAGAGGAGTGAAGTGACCAGCAATATACATGTTGCAATGGCTATTGCAACGTTCGGAAGTGTCATTAAGGCGCTAATGCTATTTTTTGAAAGCGTAACTAGAAGCTATTACCACTTCCGGACGTGGCAGCAAACAGCTATTGTCACTTACAAGAAGTGTCAGGAAGAAGCTGTTGGCACTTTCTATAGAAGGTGTCAATATGAACTACTGCTCGCGACACGACTCTTTCGGAAACGACATTTCTGCGAGCCGCTTAAACATACTGGCAAAGCTGTTTGTAAGCAGTGTGAGTCTGACTTCGAAAAGTAGTTTAGTACTAATCGTGGTTGCATGATGCAGTATGACATTATTAACACAACGTCAAAGCGAACAGAAATGAGATACGTAATAACAACTACGTTCGCAAATAACACCGTATTGCATTTTTTGAGTGTTACAAAAATACAGAGAACTTGTTTCAAAAAATTGGCAGAACAGTCGGGATCCTCTGCACGAAAATGTAGATGCATCTATCGTTATTGTCACTTTCTTACCTAAAGTGGAACAGAAAGTGTGAATAAGTGGACGAGCTTGGGTTAGAAACCGGCAATAGCCGCGTACTGCCACGTCCGGAAGTGGCCTTAACGACACTTCCGAACGTGGCGATAGCATCTTATTGACACTTCTGTAAGTGGCAATAGACCTACCCTATACATTTATGTTACGTTATATTACATTTGTTTGTTTCTTTATAGATGTTTAAAGCAGGAGGAATATATAAAAACTACCCGGATGGTATCAACTTTCATAATTCTGGAACTCAGCAGAATTAGTCTGACCGCCGCTCACACTCACGCTGTAACATCCCCTTCCCCTTAAATACATACTGACAGAATTGCAATTCTAGTTCTACCAGACTTCAAACTGAATCTGGCAAAATTCCAGCAGAATTGACCAGAATCTGCCAATTCGTAAGGAAGAAATGAAAGTGCATATCACGTATTAGCATTGAGTTATTTCTTATGAGCTGGCAGATTCGAGTGCTACCAGAACCTGAACATAATCTTAGTAATAGTATGTATTTGAATGTGTCGAGTTACGCCAGTTCTAGGAATTTCCATGAAATTGTAGAACTGGACAGTGCTGAATTTTTCTGTAGCGCAAGAGTAGAAAATCGTACAGTGCTGGCTTGAAACATTTTTTGACGGAAGCTAAACAGATGCTGCAGCCAGAACGTTTTGTAGCTCAGTCAGACGCCGTTAAGTTTCCAGTTTAATGTAATCCAAAGCCTAATTATTCTGAAAACTATTTTTACACTTTGCTAGGCGCATCTAGTAAAGTTTCTAGCGACAAGGAAAACTCTAGGTGTCTGCTTTCATTTGAGACCACTCAGAGTTTTGTGGCCCTTCTCAAAACACATGTTTAGTATTTTTGCTGCGAGCCCTTTTTTGATCCTTGAGACACGCAATCATTTGACCTTTCAAACTGAAATTTTTACTATAAGCAACATCCTAAACATCTCTATAGTTTCAAACCACAAGACGCAGTAAAAAAAAAGGAATTGTAGTGACTGTTCATTTTAGATACCCCAAAATCTCACAATACTATGAGAAAGTTTGGTACAGCTTAATCCTTTATGAAAATTAAAATTTTGAAGGAACCGTGTTTATGTCAGCCCTCTATGACACACTGGCTATCGAGAAAATCCCTTTCTATCGACCATAACATTAAATAAAATAACCTTTCATCATCCATCATAGATCATAAATGATTCTTGATAAGTTTTAATTGACTAAATGAACGTTCATTGCTCTCCACTGTGATAGGTAAGGATAACAAAGACGAATAAGCAATAAATAAATTTGAATGATAATACTATTGTTGATATCAATTTGAGCTTTTTTCTTTTTGAAAAAAACGTGGGGCAAAGATTTTACTTTCGAATAATTTGTGAAAAAAAAGTGGAAGAAAGCACGTTTTCGTTAAATATTGATTCGATTTCAACCAAATCTACAGCTCAGACGAAAGTTTTGAGAGGAAAGAAATTGCAAAAGAGAAAACATCTTCTTGAAAATCAGGGGGGCGTATCCCTCCCTCTTATGGCCACGGCATTCTTAATTTGATTGCTAATCAAGGCACTAGGTTAACTACTTTCTGACTTTAGTCGAGTAAAAAATATTCAGAATCAACAATATTCACATTCTACTCAGTATAGTTGATGAAAGCACTTTTCTTATCTGATTTTCATAAATACGATACAGTTCGGAAATCTGAAATACTTTGACGTTTATTATAGTACTAAATTCTATTTTTGAGAGATAACAGAAATTGTTCTTTTTTATTTATTTCGTGTAAATCACATACACGGACTATGATTATCCCAAAAGATAAATATATATAGATAAAAACAACTGTATCTTTTAATTTACGTAGTTTCTATTCAACTAATTACACACAACTCTTAATAAATTCTGTATGAATTCATATGATAGACAGAGTGAAAAATTCTCAACAAGATGGCATAATTTTCAATTCGCTTCCTCCTATATCCTATATGACTATACTTTACACATTATTCTAATCATATACGATTAGCTCTATTTCCGGAACATCTATGTGCTTGTGAGGTAGAACTGATTTAGAATAAATTATGTATATTGAATATTCAATGAATACAGCACAATTCTCTCTCCCTACATCCATTTTAAAAAACAACGACCACAATTTCATTTACATAGTCAAATTCGGAAATTAACGCAGAAAAGATTATATTTAGTGTGTGTAATACAAAATAAAATCTAAGTTTAATCAAACGATACTAAAGCATCAGTAGCACGATGAAACAGACAGCATCAATTGTACTCTACTTGCAGTATAATTATCAACCGAAATATCAGTAAACTCTTTATTTTATACTACGATGGCATGTGTCACGTGATCTATTTTAACGAATAATATTGTCATTTAGGTCGAACAGAATAATGAATGTGAATTGAATACTGCTACTGGCTATGTTATTTATTCGGCATTGGGTTCATTTTACATCCCGGCATTCGTCATGTTCTTTGTTTACATAAGAATATTTAAAGTTGTCTATGAACGTGAAGGTTTAATTAAAAAATTTCATCATAACCAGGATACAAATTTAATTGATAATAACAACAAAATAACACCCGCATTCTGTCGTTTAACAACATCACAAAAAAACGTATTCCCTGGAAATGATCATACTAAACAATTGAAAGATGATGAAACAAATGTACAGCAACAGAAAACAACAAAAATGAGTAAAACATTTTCGTCCGTATGCTGTTGTTGTTTTTGTTGTTGCAAACGTAAAAAACAACAGCAACAACAACAACCAAAAATAAATGAATCAGTCGTTTTTCGCTTTGGTAGTGGTAAAGCTGGTGACTATAATTATTCAGGAAGTGATTCTGTTAATTCACCAGTACTAAATAATATTTGTCGACCGTGCACATTAAATATGACAAAATCGAACGGTACGGTTAAAAATCAAGATGATGTTAAACATCGACGTAATTATTTTCGTTCCGGATTTCCAACGGCTGCTCCATATACATTTCGTACCGGTGATTCACCTTGTTTTGAATTAAAATGTTTTGATTACGTTGAAACTCAACAACTATCAATAAAAAAATGTCGATCAACATCATCCGAATCACATTATATTGTGGAAGATTTAAATGCTGCTCTTAGTCGAAGTAGACAGTTAAAAGAAAATATGAATAATAAACACACTGATGATTTAAAAAGTTCGAAATCTTCTCCATCAACATTTACACTACCAGCACAAAAAGATGATCAACGAGTAAGATAAGAACTGCTTCTGTAATTGTAATCAGTATCTAAATTTCCTCTTTTTCTAGCTCATTAGTGACGAAAACCGAGCAGCAAGTATTTTTCACGCCAGTTATGAGGTCGATAATGGTATTAATAATAAAAACAATGATGACGACGAAGATCTATTTCGATTAGTTACAGTTCAACGTTCCCAGAATAAATTGGCTCGATCCGTCGATGAATTGACAACAGCATCTATACATAATTACTCATTATTAAATAAACCATCTTCTTATTCGAGTTTAATATTAACTAAACGTCAGAAGGATTTTTCTAGTAGCCGAGCACATCCAAATTTAGCGTATCAAAATGGTGGTAGTACGATGAAATGTGAACCAACACGTATTAATCGAAGAACAAATGGAAAATTAAAACATTCAAGAATCGATCAGAATACATCCATAAAATCGATGACATCACAAAATTCATCATTTAAAACTAAGTTAAACTATTTATTATTTTGTTGTCCTAATAAATGTAATGGAGCTGATACAGCAAATCATCATTCATTTAATAAGGTTAGAACATCATTGACAAATGAAGAAGACGATGAAGATACGTCAAATGAAAAATCATCAAATGAAACAAATAAAACCCCGTGTACAATGACAGCCAGTCCAAGTCTTCTTAATGAACGAAATAATTTAATTATAATTCCAAATAATAATAGTTTAAATACAAATAGTAATCGTGTTCGTGATGTTAATCGGCGTGAACGTTTAAGGTTTATGAAAGAACAAAAAACAGCCAAAACTTTAGCTATTGTAGTGGGAGGATTTATTTTGTTCTGGTTACCCTTTTTTATCATGTATTTAATTGGTACAACATCTGTGACTTTGGATAACAATTTAACAGCGTTTTTAACTTGGTTAGGATATTTCAATTCAGTCATAAATCCCTTTATCTACGCATATTGTTCCAAACAATTTCGAATGGCATTTTGGAATTTAACATTTGGAAATTGTACAAAAAAATCAACATTATCAGTATCATTGAAAAAACAAGAGTATCAACGTCGTACAGTGAATAATAAAGATTAAGCATTTAGAGAGACGTGTGGTATGTTGTAAATATATCTTTTCCTCTGTCTACCAGTGATCTCTAATTGTTACATATGTTATTTTTGAGTTATTTTTATTTGTTGCTTTCACAACCTCGAAATCTATTTTTTATTGCTATTTGCATCGATTTTATTTTCCATGACTATCAGTGAAATAAAAAAAAATGTGTGGAAATAAAAAGCATTTTTCCGACTACAAGTCAGAAGTCGGATAGTCTAGTATTTCAGAGTCCTACGCAGAGTTCTGAGATGATTGAAAATATTTTGAAGGCTGCGTAACACGGCAGCACATGAAGTAGAATTTGTAATAACCTAACTTTTTATCTAAATGAAAGAATTGTAAATTAGATTTCGACTTGCTGACAGTTATAAAAATTATGGTATGTTTTTTCCTCTCATTTGATTTATCGCATAAGATATCAGACAGACAAGGCTACAATGTTTGATCGGCTGTCATCCCTCTACACTCTATCATTTTATCGCGGCTTTATCTATATACTGCTTAGACTTTTATACTTCTTACAGGAAACTGAAGATAAATTTCACAAAAATCATACCATAATGGCGGAAAAGACGAAATGATACTTTCTCATGAGCATATATCAATTAGGCATGCAGCAGTTATCTTATCGCGGCTCTTGAGGGCAGTAGTTTTAAAAATCAGAGAAACTTTTTAAAATTTTTTCGAGTCGACGTTTTTACCTGAAAAACTGAGCCGTTATTAACTGGCAGTTAATAACCGGTCCTCTTTTAGGAAAAAAATTCATATCTCATCGACGAACCATCATGAAATAGTCTGCAATGTCTTATTTTGTAGAGCAAACATTTATGCACAGAACTATCGACTCGAAAAAATTTTAAAAAATTTCTTCGATTTTTAAACTGATCCAAAAAAACCCAAGAGTCCCAATAAAATAACCGTTGAATGCCAAATATCAATCGCTTAAGTGTTTAAAAAATGTTTTCATCATCATTATATTTTCAGAAAGATTTTGTCAACATAGCAACACTATCGCCCAAGTCGACTCAAACGGGGAATATAAGCGATTGAAACGATTTACTCCTTCGGTACGCGTTTGAACGTGTTTCCAACGCGTGGAAATTGTTCACATTACTTCAAACTTGTGCGCAGTATGATTTTTCAACATGCAGTTAACTGTCGTTCCAACATAGTGTTATGCTAATCATATATATTTTTGGGTCAAGATAAACTACAATGAAAAAAAAGGTTAAGCTGTGCTAGAACAAAAAGTTAAGCTTGAGCTTAGTGCTAGCGTGTTTTTGATTCTCTCCAATAGAGTATCATAAATTCGCTTTATATCTTTTGTTCTGTATTTTTTGTTTAATGGAAGAATTCGATGAAGAACGACCAACAAACATTCTTTGCAAACTACCAAGACTTTTTTGCCAAAATCCGGGAAAAGACACGTTTCGGCGAGGCCTTGAAAACGAATTTTTCCTTGCTAAAGCAGAGAAAAAAAAAGTCAAGTCAAGGATACAACGAAGTAGAGGTTTTCACAGATGTTCTTTCGATTGACGGGCTCAGACAAAGTTTCCAAAGATATTTTAAGTTCGGTTCTCCAGAAACCTAGGTTTCCTACAAAACCTTTTCCAAAGTATAATTTGACAAAACGGAATCGCCCATTCGATTTCTTAGGTCACATAATCTATCTTCTGAAGGTTTAGCCGCATGAAGCCTTCCGATTTTATAGGTCTATTTTTATCCGACTTTTACCTAGACATGTCAGACTTATGATAAAAAAACGAAGCTTGGGTCTTCTCTTGTTCAGTCAGGAGAGGACAAAAACTGAGGTGAAACAATTGAGTATCATTTTCCTATGGATAGTATTTCGTCTCGAAGTTGAAAACGAAAAGAGACAGAAACTTACGGTTTCCATGGATAGACCCAACACACTTTTTTGCATTTTTACTCCGAAAAATGCAAGTTTAGTACACTTATCTGATTCTCAGTAAATCAGAAAGGAGGTATGACATTTTTTGAGCACTCGAGAACCACTGATAGAAGTATGATTTTTACAAAAAGCGAAGCGAGTTAAAACAAAAATTTTTGCACCAAAGATGGATAGAACTTCCTGAATATTTGATAAAACCCTACAAGAGTCTGGCTTAGCCAAAACCGAGAACGAGGCCGAACCATGAGCTTCGGACGAACGGTACCAGATTTATCAGAATCCCTCAGCTGCATAATGCTACTTTATCGAATTTCGAATTTTTTAGAAGCAAAAGCAAGTGAAAATATTCGGACTAAGTGAGAATTTAACTGAATCGACTGAAGATATTTTCCAGAGCAAACTGAAAACGTTCACAGGTTTTTTCTCTAGATCAATTTTAAGATTAGTGTTATGGATATGTCACTTAGTTTGCTGCTTGATCATGCAGAGTTATTTCAATTTATAATAAGAAACATCAGATCGTGTTGATACACGACCGTTAATAAAGAACTGCTACTGTAACTTTTTTTTGCGATGTCTAGAGTCAGTCCATCGAATCTTATCTTAATCGGCATTGCCAAATGGTATTCTCAGATACTTCACAGTAAATGAATCAAAAACATTTTTTTTGAAATTACACAGCAAAAGTGATTTACTAATTTCCAAAAGCTTATTCCAAGCCTTCAAATGATTTCTAATAAATTCTATGAATCCCACTTGATGTTTTTTTCTACTAAGAGCCCTTTCTCTCTCGGTGCACATCGAAAACTAGCGATGTTGTTTGTTAAAAATGGTGAAGAACGTTGAGCAGTCGAGATGTGCCCGAATTTACTAGTTGCCAAGTGAGAAGCAAACGATAGAGTCGAAGGCTGAAATATAACGAGATGGAGCTGGTAAATAAAGACCAAGTCTTCTTTACGTATGTATAATTATTTCTCTCTTTGTCATGTTTATTGAGATTGTTCATGAAACACAGCTGGATGTCAACTGTTCTGTAAAAAAATACATAATCCACTTATATATCAGCATCAAGCGAGCGGATTTTTATGTGGCAAAAAAGGGCAAATGAATGGTATTGGTTTCATTACAGTGTAATAGCGTGTAGCATCTGTGATCGTCACAATAGCAGATAATAATAAAAAAAGTTTGTCAGCGTTGCTCTTATGGAGCAAAAAGTGTGAAAACTTCCGTGACCTTTACTAGGGGCAGTAAGCCTTCCAGCAAAAACACTGGCGCGGCTATATTTCTACAGCCTTACCTACTAACGTTCTTGCTTATTCTTAACAAGAAATTAAGGTTATGTAAATTTCATTTTAAGACTATGTAAACCCCATCTACATGTGATTAAGACTATGTAAATCCCAACATTTTTCGAGGCCCACTTCCCCCTAGGATTCTCTCTATAAAAATAAATTTCAAACTTCCATCTCCTTCGGAGAACGGACGTGTCCTTGGAAGTTTTCACAAAAGAGCTTTTTGAGACAATTCCAGCTGTCTACGTTTTTTTACTCAATAAAAAATAACGGTACTACAACAAAAATGCAGAGGTCCCTATACACTTTACGTTTTACCAAAGTTGGGATCACCGACAAAATCACATGCGAATGCTAGAGAAACTACTCAATCGAAGACAAAACCCAGATGGCAGCATAGTTACCATGTTTTCACACAGGCTGTATGTCTTGGATGATGAATAGCCAAGATTGGACAATTTTCACGTACAGGCCCTTATTTAAAAATCTGAAATTTTCGAAACAGGAAACGACACGATTATCTATGATTTCCACAAATAAAATGTTCAAATCTCGGATTCATTCAGTTCTCTTTTGTGGTCATACGTCGGGCCAGCGGCTCGAAAAGTGATGGATTTTCAAGATAAGACAAGAACAAATTGATTTTATGCTGATTATAGCCGATAATGATCTTTGCATAGATGTTGGTTACTTTTTTAAATTTTGCTCCAGTTCTTCGTAATCCTGCTATCGACTTTTGCAACTGACATGTGAGCTTATTCGATATGTCGAACGAGTACTTTTTCGACGTGTAATAATCTTTTTTCATCGTTATCACCGAGCTGACTCCCATTGACGAGCCATAGTCGAAGCTACGTCAAGCGAGGTCTCTTGGAATTGGCCTTTGTTATGTATGATGCAAGTGAAGATATGCTTCGAGCCACGACCACCTGTGGATGCACGCAAGTGGCAAGACGATCACGGCCAGTAACCGACGAGGAACGACTCACACTATGCGTTTTCGCCCGTAATATTAGGGCACTTGTAATCTCCAAAGTATCAACGCTCTACTGTCCAATATCGTACAAATATAATCGAATATGAGAGATTTCTTCAGTCAGCTGAGAGAAGACACTGATCGATCTCAGTAAATGCACGGTAGAATATATCCTCATATAGCGGGTGACGAGCCAGTGAAAAACATCACTTCCAGCATTATCCGCTTGTCAACGTCAGACATGTAAGACGCCGTTCAGAAAATACGTAGCCATGGGAAGGGAGTCGGCTGCGCCGGACTACGTAGCCAAATGCATTCTCTTCCTCACTCACCACTCGCTTCTGTGACATCTGATTTCTTAGAAACCTAGGACTATACCGAAGATCCCGAATGGTTTTAGCACTAGTCGACTACCGGTAACAATGAGTTACGAGCAATCTTCTTACAGTCGATGGGTTCTTTTCAGCTGGAATCAAGAGTACAGACAGAGCATGTCCACCTCTGCTATTGATGTTTTAAGGGTTCAAAGTGGAAAGCACCAAAAATTTACGTCGCATTCGTCGATTGATTTGACATTAATTCAGTGCTGCTGTTTCCTTATCATTTTTGGTGATTCTCACTTTTATGATCCTTTTTCCTTAGAAATCTTTTACGTCTTGTCTAAGAGAACCATAAGCTTTGTGATAGCATCAAATGATAGCTGTTGGTCACAATCTCTCACAAATACAGTGTTCGTTAACAAAAAAAAAATCAGGTGAAACAGTCATCATCACTGTTTATAATTCAGTCTTTCGAGTTCAGAATCTCACATTAAATATTACGGTCGATTTTTCAGAAGAGCAAAGCGCTCATTTCTGACACATCGCAACGCAAGGTTAACTCGCAATTATTAAGACCTCTTTCCCTAGACGACCGAAAGTACGGAAACCAGATAAGAAGCTTATAGAAATCTTATGAAAATCTTATATGCTCCAGTCGAGAGAAATGCATACTGTAATTATAAGAATCTTATAAGAACTGAATAAGATTTCGGTAAGATTTTAGTTTTATAATTTTCTTATAAGATTCTTATAATCTTATAGTGCCTTATAAAAAATGTTCAAAAATTTCAAAGTTCAAAACTCTGCCCTCATCCTCCAGGCAACAAAAAAAGCTTTTTTTGTTTTTTGACTATAAGAATCGTATAAATTTTTATAGGAATCTTATAAGTTTCTTACATAAGAATCTTATAAGCACAGTATGCATTTCTATCGACTGTAGCATAAGATTCTTATCTGATTCTATAAGATTCCTATAGGAATCCTATATAAGATTTGATCTCTGGGGTTTGACCTTTGTTCTTTTTGCAGCACTACCGATTGATAACAACAAAGTACCGAGAGTCAGTGGTGGATCCAGCATGGGACGACCATCCCTGTTCGAAAAATAAGCATACGCTACCTTGGCAGTCTCTTGGCACTCCAGTAAGTAGCTAGATAGACGCAGACTTTCTTATCTAGTATGCCAGGCGCACAGAGAACTAGAGCAGTGGCAGATCCATAGCAGAAAACAACAATCATTTAATCACTTAAAATCAGCAATTAATCGCAATTAACTGATGATTTTCGTGATTAATCGCGATGGTTGACAAAGTCATCGATTAATCGCGATGCACGAAAAAATTATCATTTAATCGCGATTAAATGACCATTTTTTCCCGAATCGCGATTGAGCGTCGATTTTTTCAACCATCGCGATTAATCGACAAAAATGAAGCGATTTTCAGCACATGGGGATGCCCAGACCCAGTTACTAGGAACGGTAACTGGAATTGTCTCATGACTACTTTCACACTTATTTTGTACGCGTTCCGAACAAGACGTACACGTGTGGTCATCGCTGAAAGGAATCCAAACGTTTAAGTATAACAGAATTTATCATAGCGGCATATGTAAGATGGCAAGAGCTCCACGCTTGTACGAAGCATGCGTTTGGAACGTGTATGAAACATTTGAAATGCATACGTTGTCCGTTTGAGTCCACTTGGGCGACAGAAGGAAACTCTGCAACTGCTCTTCATCATGGAGGCAAGAGTTCGTTTTTTATAGGACGAGAAGAAGAAGTATTAAACGATAGCTGGTAAAATGTGGCCGTGGGTGAAGGGAGTGCGATGGTTTCCCGGTGAAACAAAACGTAGCCATGAATTGACGGTCAACAATAAATATCGCAAAGGCTAGTTGTCAATTTTCGAAACGTACAGAGTAACAATATCAAAGCATGAAAAGTGGGGTATTCAGTTTATTTTATTTACAAGATTAGAATATTTTTTGATAAAATTCGGTGAACTGCGTATTTTTTCAGGATAAATTTTAACAAAACTCTTTTTTCCCACCAATGACACATGAAAGATTTCTTCTCAAAATCTGAGAAGAATTTGTAACTCCATATCCACGAATTAGAGGTATCAGGGGCTCGATCAGAGGAGTGCTAGCTCCTTCCTGGAATCTTTGACTTTCCGCTAAAATTTTTGACGTGTTTTTCTGCTGCTAAAAATATGACATTGGTGAAAAACTGTTTATACCGAATTTTGTGTGGATTTTCTACGCGGATATTTAGAAAGGAGCGTATCTTTTCTGATTGCGCGAAAGTCTGTCTTTCTTCTGTAACTATCTCATGTGTGATTAGTTAATTTTTAAAAGTTTTTTAGAAGTTTTCCGCTCCAAGTTTAGCGCCTCCGACAAAAAACAATCTGATTTTGAGAGTTATTCCCCCCGTTTTTCCAAAATTCGACGTCGAACACGCTGTAAACAGTATGACAAAACCTTAGTAATGTCATGATAAAGGTGTGACATTGAATTGAGAAAAAATTGATTGCCATATTTTAATCGTAGTAAAGCTTTACTTTTGTTGTGTTTTTTTACAACGCATTACATCAAATAGATTCATCCAGTATTTGATATATTTGTTTCGCTGTCGTTTCTCCTTCTTTTATCCTCCTAATTCAGCTGTTATTCTTGCTAAAAGTATGTTTTCTTTTTCTTTCATAAAAAAACATCACAGGCGTATGGCACTGTCTTTATCATTGTTGACTCTAACTGAAAGTAAAAATTAGTTTCTTAGTAATTACTGAATCTATCATTTGTTACTGTTATAATTATTTTTATACTATTCTGTTTGATTGATATCATCTTTTATGAACTGGCAACAGAAATGGAAAACGTCTAATCTCTGTTCAGAACGAGAGGGCGAAAAGTAAAAGTTATTCTGATATAATTGATATCACTATTAAAAAGTTTTGGATATTGATATGTATCAATTTCTTCTTCTTCCACGTTAAATTGAAACAAGAGAAGAAGAGTTGTTTGTTTGTTTACTTTACTAACGAAAGTATACTATAGGATATATATACTGTGATAGTAGCGATTCTATATTTGTTTAAAAGAAATTTTCTCTGTTACTGCTTTATTTGTATCGTATTTATCGTTATTTCCAGATGAAATGAAGTTAGTCATTTGTGTTATTATTGATAAAGAACGAGATGCCATATTATTATGTGAACAACAATATAATCGTGGATATTGGTATGTTGATTCTGTCCTTCGACTAAAATTAATGTTCTATTAATTAATTAATAATTGTAGGTTTCCATATGATGAACTGAAACCAGGTGAAACTCGTGTATTAGCAGCTAAACGTATTTCCTTGAAGGTAGGTATTTATATTATAGTAATATTATCTGTAAAGTGAAATGTTTAATAAATTTTTTCCATTTAGGCTTGCTCAAGTGACTGTGATCTCGTAACATTACTGAAAATACGCTGTTGTGATCAATTGCCATGCTTTCAAAGTTTTCAAACTTTTTATCTTTTGAATCGTGGCAAAGCAGTATGTATTTCTCGTTTTCTCTTCATAGTTATGTTCAATTCTTTTTGTATTTTAGGCGAGGAACAATTCAATCAGTACAAATCATGTTTGGATGACGTTAGAACGTCTGAAGACAGCAGTGAAAAATCGAGAATTACTCGGGATGGAACCGTTGTTTCAATTGAAATCGATATTAGAAAAACAACAGTCACATGGTTAGTATAGATAAATAAATAGAAAAGTTCGATTTTAAAAACCATATCATTTTTCTGTTGCATTTTAGAAGATCCTATTCTGGGTAGTCAAGTAATTGAAGAACCAGTGTTGCAATTTATTGAATGTAAACAACCCGATCAAAATAATCAAACAAATGCATCACCTCAAGAACAGCTAATCGGATCTGCTAAATTTAATGCTAAAAGTATGTGTTGGTTATTTTTATAACAAAATTTGAAAACAAAATTATAGACGATACATATTTTTCTTTGTTATTGTAGTTCAGGAAAAAGTGTTCAAAGAATTTTATTCACATACATTTCCAAGTGAATATATGAGTTATCAAACATTTGGCGAAGCAATGGATAATAAAATTTTGGCACCCGATAAACATAAATTACAGCATTATTTTAGAGCATTCGACTCACAACAAAAGTCATATTTAACCTATTCAGAGTATCTGCTAGGTATATTTCCTCTTTCTTTTTAACGAATTTATTTACTCATATTCCTATGATATTACACTATTTTGTTTTGGAGAAAAAAAGATAGTTTTGGGGTTGTAGTGTCAACATTCATAACCGATGGAGAACTTTACCTTTGTAGTCCTTTGCCTACAATGATAGATAAAGCTTTTTAATCTTAGATATTTTGATAGTGTCTTTATCTTCTTAAATTCTGGTAAAATCTTATGAACATTGTGAAGCAAATAGTTTTGCTTTACATTATATTACTTCCATTTTAGGCTTAGCAGCTTTGGATCCGAACACGTCTCATGGCGGTGCACCTGCTGAACAACGGTGTCGTTATATATTTCGATTTTATAATACAACTAACAGTGGCTCAATTTCAATTGATGAATTTAGGTATTTTGTTTGACTTTTTTCTTTTTTTGTTACCGTTTCTATGTTTCTCTCTATATTTTTCTTCCTAGAGAGTTACATGCTGATGTACAAAATCTAAAAGGTGGTAAAACAAATATTAACGGTGATCCACCACCCTACAACGAAGTTCTCGCGGCATTTAAGTAAGTGAGCTACCGTTATGCTATTCGATGGTAATTTTAATTTTAATTTTGGATTTAGTTCATTCAGTATACAAACAGATCATAAATTACAATTAACAGATTTTCTCAATTCTGTTGGTCAATTAAAATATCGAGGTACATCCGTTCTATTTCGTTTAAATTCAAGTGTGCAAGAGCTATTGCGAGTGTCAAAGTAAGAACAAGAGAGAAAAATCAACGGCATGTGTAACTGTTATCGAATTTATGGTATCTTTTAGACGATACAAGGAGTCTAAATCAGAATCTTCATTTGATAAATGTAAGCATCTTCTATCTTGCTAATAAGGTGTCATTATTTTGATCTTTCATTTTTTAGCCGTACCAAATCAACCGTACGAAATAGCTGATCATTGTGTGACGTTAAAAAAATCTGGTACATTGGCACAAGTCGAATCGTTGCGAACAATGATTAATCGAAATGCTGATCAGTTAAGTTATACGACGGAAAATGCATTCAAAAATCTGCCACGTTCTTCGTCGGAGGAAATATTCGATCGTGTAAGTAGAAAAATGATTTTTGCTTATATTTGAATAATTTGTTTATATTCTTTTAAGCGCACAGTGGCAACCGATATACAAGATTCACTAAGATATTTTGAAAAACGTGATCAAACAAAAGTATGTTGAGTTGATACATCGAGTACAAAAAATGTTCTGTTTTTTTTCATTTAAAGGAGGCGTTGACGTGGACACCTAGTTCGTTTGCAAGTTTAGCCAAATGCATTATTAATTTGTGTAAAGAAGTACGTGAAGTGATAAAACGTGAACCCAGATGCTTAAAAGTATCGTCGCCTTGCTACATTTTAGGTACATATTTTTTGTTATATTTTTTCTGAAAAATAACATGTTTGTTTGCATAGTTTAGGCGATATTCATGGTAATTATCAAGATTTAGTTTGTTTTGAAAAGTCTTTGTGGCGCGCAACACCATTGCTATCTCCAGCCTCATTTGTTTTTCTGGGCGATTTTGTCGATCGAGGAATTCACGGATTGGAGGTAATGAATCATTAAGATCAATATAACGCAGCTTTATAGCTGTTCAGTTCAGTTCTCCCAATGTACATTTCTTCTCAAGCGTTTTCACTGAAAGGCTTTACTAGAGCATTCGAGTATTCTATCAAATGCATCTCGCTATTGTTAAAGTATATCCGGGACTATTTGGTGTTTTAGGTTATTATCTATTTATTAGCAGCAAAATATCAATGCCCGAAAAAGGTCGTCTTATTAAGAGGCAATCATGAAATACGTAAAGTACAACAAATGTTCAGTTTTTATCGGTAAGTTGTTCATTTTTTAATTAGAAATTAATTTACACTTTATTTTTCATTTGTGCTTAGGGAATGTATGACAAAATTTGGTGATTCACTCGGTAAAGAAGTATGGGAAGCGATCAATACTGTCTTCGATGTTTTACCATTATCTGCTGTAATTGACGATAAGGTGAGTATTAACGATAGTAATCTACCAATATTCTTCTACTATAAACTGTTTGTTTTTAGATTTTATGTTTACATGGTAAGCACTTGTTAATAATTGAGACTGAAAAAAGCAGAAAAAATGTAAGTTCTCTCGTTTTTGTTGATCAGGGGGTATTCCAAGTCCATTAAATTGTCCCGGTGATTTTATTACAACAGTGAATGAAATACCGAATCCATTGAGCGATCCAGAAAACGAGAGCCCACTTGCTTGGGAATTAATGTGGAATGATCCTTATAGCATTGATTCAACAAACCAAGCTCCAGTCGGAGCAACCGGTGGCTTTTTTAATAATACAAGACGTAGTACTGGAAATTTTTTTACAACAGAAGCATTAGTGGCATTTCTAGAAAAAAATAGTTTTACTCATGTTGTGCGAGCTCATGAAGTACAACAAGTTGGTTTTAAGGTAAAATTGTTATTTAAGTTTGCTTTCATAGTTGCTATTGAGAAATTTTTGTCTTGTCTAGCTCACAGGAAGGCTCATTGTTCTATTGTAGGTACAATTAAATGGACGATTGTTAACTGTATTTTCATCTTCACATTACTGTGGTGGCACTAACGAAGCGGCAACTGTACTATGTGATTCTGGTAAACTTCGATTAATAAAACTGGATACAACTTGAGAAATATGTGTGCATCTCTTTCTTTCTTTCCTTCCTTCTTCCAAAGACTGTGATGGTGTGTATGGAACAAAATAGAATAAATTCTAAGACACGAAAGGTTTTGTTTTGATGTGCTTAACAGTTAGTTGTGATTTTCTTTATCTCTTTTTAGACAAAAGATTGTTTATGTACATGAATGCATAAATAAATAAGTACTGCTACTTTTTTTACATATATTTGCTTTTGTTATCTTTGTTTATTCTTTTAAGAACTACTTTTTTTATTTGTGCACGCAAATTAACTGTATATCGAACGTTTTCTTCTGTTGACTGTATTTTTCTAATTAAAGAAATAGCAAGTAAATGAATGAATGAATACACACAAACAGTTCTGCCTTCCTTTGTATCAACCACATTCCCTGATTTATGTATCTGCGTATTTTCTCTCTCGTGCGCATTTCTTTTTTTTTGTACTCAACATATATTGCTGCATCAATGACTCTGTCTGATAAACAAAACAAATGAGTTAATAAATTGTTGCTGCTACTCTATATCCTCAGCTGTTCATTGTGTTTTAGAGATTTTTTTCAATGCTTTACTCTCCGTTCTCTTTTTCCATTGAAAAATAGACGTTTGCACTTCATTGTAAATTTTTTCTTTAATCTTTGTAAAAAAATTATGTTTCCTTTTTTCTTTACTCTAATAACAAATGTGCTGTCTTTTTTTGTTGTTTTGTTATTGTCGACTCTTTTTCTCTTTTGTGAAAATATTTTTTTCTCTTTTTGGATGATTGAGCAAAATCAATGAAATTAAGTTGAGTAACAGGAATATTACTTTTGAACCTAAAGAAACCTATCCAAGTTCAAAGAAAGCGGCTAATTTTATTGACGTTGTTTATGGTCATCCATTGATGCACTCTCACAGCTTATACCTTGAACTATGAAAGGATCAGGTGTTGATAAATGAAACCTGAATTTGTACAAGATCTGAATTTCATCTCATCGTAAAAGGACCATTTAATGATTCAATGAAAACGAACAACAAGATGGTTTCAGATATTTGAAAAGAATACAGTTGTATATATAATAAAATATTGCAGTGACATATTTGGAGATGTGCGTATAATGGTTATGTAAGAGCTTCTTAAAAACAGCATAAAGTGCACAGAGCTCTTAACGAAATCATGTTTTTCGATATCCTCGAGCAACACAGTAATTTTACCATATGAACGGGTGTTATGACTGATATTGCCGTATTCTCACCGGTTTTTTAAATCCATAAAAAAACGCTTTAGTAGTCTTTAACGATAATATTTGAATTGCTGATTGGTGGCTCACTCTCACTTGGAATTGTCCCTGATGTTGTGCTCACCTATCACTCGTTGTAGAAAGCATGAAATGTCGGTAGATGTTTACTTTTATACGTGTGTAGCGATCTAGAGAAGAATGCCTTTTCTCACAACAATTTGTTACTACATCCGGTAATAGGTAAGAAGCAGGTTTTAGAAATTTGATAACATTTGAAATTGCGGAAGTCGTAGGGTCGAAAGGTTATGCTATTGAGAAAATAGAAGTCGATTGTAGTAGCAGGCTAGTTTCTTGTCTATTACGTTAATAAATCTTCTTTCAGTTTGAAAACTGGAGGAAAATACGATATTAGTCGTGAAAACAGTCGAATAGATTATTTTATAGCGCGATATTCCATATCTTATGTTAATATCTCGTGTGACCACCCAATGTGCCGTATGTCTTAAAATCTCTGCATTGTACTGAAATTTTATACTTTTTTTAGTTATTTCTCTTTCCAAAGCATCGAGCGTTGCTAATGTCTCTTCTTAGTTAGTTATATTTCGACATACAAATAATTTCATAAATATTGAAATATTACAAATGTTGAAAAACAGTTGAAAAATATTTGCATGACTGGAATATTGCTGCATTGCGAATCATCATAATTAAAAGTAAATTGTGAACTTAACCCCCGTTCATATTTACACTGTTGTTAGTTTGTTAGTAGAATGTTAAGTGGCAGTGTGAACGACTGAGTATTCACTGTTATTCTTTTTCGTGAATGACGAATATTAACCAGCGATTTTGTACCAGGCTAACTTAATAGCCTTGTTGGTATAATACAGATGATAGCTAGTCATGTTATTTGCTCTTAAACGATTTATGTTCCACGGAGCCACATATAATCACTGTCTAAATGTTCAACACTTGATAAAGAGAAAAAGAAAGCATGAAGTATGCCAAAACCAACAACGTACGTTACTGTTAGTTTAAACAATGTACACAAATTGAACGGGATTTATTTGGATATTAACTTTGAATAAACCAATTAAGGCTAACTACCATACACAAGATTAAACATATAGCATAAGCGAGTAGTATTTTGAAGTTCCAAGATTAAACACGTGCGAAAACAAAGTGGATCAGTTTTATGCTATAAAATATTTATGCATACTTCATCTAAAGCCATTGATTGCTAGATAAGCATTAATATATGTTAATCACTATTTTTTATAATATCAAGACACCTAATCTGACCAGAGTTTGATATAAGAAGAACTCAATTTGGTCTCCTCTGTCGGTCGGTGGATAGAACTCGATGAGATACATAATTTGAAGTAGGTGCTATGAGATTTCAGACACATGAGATGGCATAATAGTTTAGAGTTTGAAACTTTACAGTAATTTAGGCTTTTAATAATATTTCCACTACAGACGTTAACATTTGATAAACCGAATAACCAGTAGATGCGACTGACGACTGATTAGTTGATGTATAATAAGTTAAAATTAGATTAAGTTTTGACCAAGATATGGCCACTTCAATGTCTCAGAGCACTTTTCCGTACCTTCGAGCTTTCTCCCAAACGGAGCGACTTTAAGATTTGAAAACTTTGGACAATAAAACCGAAAGGTGTATGTCAGCGAAGTATTTTGAAAGTTTTGTGTACAAAACGTTGTTTAAATGAAATTTTAATTAGATATTCTGAAAACCTAGCCAGGATCTGAGCTACAAACTGCTATAATCTGGAAGATAAACTTATTTGAATACTTATTTTGAAAAAGCCCAGTTTCGCACACGGACGGCACTAAAATGGTTTATTTTTCGAATATTTGAGTCATTTCTCCGAAACGATATATGATAAAGACTAGATTTTTTCAGCGTTGCATGTACACTCAAAAAAAACAAAAATAGTTTATTGAATTCTGTTCAGGACTTACAAGTGAAAAATTGACCTAATCCTATGGTACAATGACTATACAATTCACTCATGTACACAGTTAGAAATGGAATTATTTATATACATGCTTCTTCATATTTACACATCGATATGGCATGAATCTGCTGACATAGGTTCGGTTTAACAAAACTTTTGTTTATGTAGATTCTTTTGTAAAGAACATGTTTGCAAACATATAGTTGAACTTGCAGGTGCCTTTGTCTGCTTGTACTTTCAAAAGACCGTATACTTTTAGGAAAAAACGTAGTAAATCCAAAAAATTCACTCACCAACATCGTTTTCAACTATGCACAAGAGTAATAAGACCCTAAAAACATAATTTTGCAGCTACATATGTGCGTAATGGAACAAATTTAAAATTTGAGAAAGCGACTCTGTCAGGACCGAGATATAGGTACTTATTAATTATTAAAACAACTTGCGGTTCTGGCTTTGTAGTTTAAGTTTAGGGATCTCCGCAGAAAAACAATGTCGGAATCAGTTTTCGGCCGAGCTACGTAGAATGGCTGAACGGTCCTATAACAAGATCCATTCCAAAAAATTATCCATACTCAAATAGTCTATTAATATTAATCCTTTGAACTAAATATGATCCCTGCACTGTGTTACATTAATTCTCTTATTATGATATAAATGACCATACTGGAAAATTCGACAGACAGGCTTGTCTTCTGAACGTGCGAGTGAGAATGGGGCGAAAGAAGATACCTTCAACGATTTGTATGCATTAGGGAAAGAATATGAGTGAATGGCATAGCGTTTAGCAAAGAATTCTCGAAAAAATAGGTTGCTTACAAAAAAATGTTTAGAGTGTCGGGTTGAGTTTTTCTATACCCAATGTCAAGTAGGAAACCTTTTTCTCGACACTTTATAGTCAAAACAGCGAAAAATGTGTTTTCGGTGCTACACCCAGCCGATTCCCCAAGACGACTTTGGAAAAACTCAGTTATACTTGAGATAAATAATAGGTATTATCCATGCGTCGATAGATCTTGATGAGCTAAATCCGATGATGCTACTCCCAAAACTTTATTACGTAGATTTTCCACTGGAAATGCCGAAAGGAAGATGTTTAGCTGAAGAATGACTTTCGGGAGTCGTTACGCGCACTTACTGAACTAATACTTTTCAACTTCATGGTTGAATACAGCACATTCAGCCGAATGGAATAATGTGTCATAGGTTGAATTTCGGTTCTATTTTCATTGAAAATAAGCATGTAGAAATCTTACCAAACATTTTCGCGTATTTTTCAAATTTCTCTTCAAAGATGCAATATTTCAGTTTCATTTTTTTTACCGAATATCAGACCTCATAAGGTCTAAAAATGATTAAAATTTGATCTTGATTGCAGTATTATTTATCGAGATATCAAAAAAACAAAATCGAAAATCTCATCGGACATCTTGTGGGTGGAGTCTCGATTTCCAAAAATATACTGGACTTTTATACACAAAGAACGCACTTTTTAAATTATATTTTCTTTTCAATTTGCTACGCACTCGAAGCGGTATCGATTCTACTTATTGACAATCATTTCCAGTTTTTTCTTTAGCTCGACATTACGCTTTGAAATCACCGGACATAAATTCCAAAGTGAGTAACAGAGTTAAGATCAATCTTTTATATCGACAGACATAATGTGTTTTTGCTGGAAATTTATTTATTTTTGTTTTCTTTAGTCATTTGTTTTACAAAATGTGCACGACGTAATCTAAACATAAATTCAGATTCGGCACCATAAGCTACAGAAGTAGAATCAAAATGTTTCT